ACTACAGATACCATGGCAGTGCCAGGATTGTGAGTGATTGCTGAAAATGTTGAAATGTACTCACTCACTTTTTATTATTATTTGTAAAAATGTGTACAAATGGTTGGTTTTTTTGTACTGTTTTTATCAATAAAGGACATACACCCATGTGTGTTGATTTCTCCCTAAGAAGACAAACTGAAACACAAGTTTCCTTGTGGCTCAGGAAACTAACCACTCCAAGTTGGTGACTTTTGGAGATTTATTTTCCTGGATGATTGAGAATGCATCAAAACGAACACAAAAGGAAGTTCACCGCTTTTAGCAGCTCCCCCCAGACAAACAAAGAGGCAGTTGGCAGTTAGAAATCAGCAATCGTTCACACACCCCCACTCCCCTCCAGAATTCTCAGGTAACAACCTAATTTACATATGAATTGATGACTAGCCAATTTAGCTTCCACTTGGCTGAAGCTAAAAGCCTACCAGCCATTTGGCTGGAAGGCGGGTTTTAAAAGGTAGAAAAGCCAAATGGCTGCTCTCTGGGACTTTAGAAAAGGCCGGTCCGTGAAAATGTTGGCGAACATAAACCGGCCCATGGCACAAAAAAGGTTGGGGGCTGCTGCTATTAGCACAAAATAAAATAATAAAGTATGAAGAACATATTTAATCTTTTAACAAATGCATGAAAATATTGAAAAATCTGTGATTTATGATTATTTTAATTTGCGTACTTCTTCTAACTCAATAGAATTTCATGCATTAAGAGACGTAGCTGGCCCTGTCTAACAATTGTATGGTAAGATTCCCAGGAGCTTGAGGCTATAGCAGCACTACTAACTGTGTTTACACGTCCGTTACAGAAGATGCTACAAGTAAATGAACACACAGTGTCAAAAAATCTTCAGTAGTAATTATTGTGTCTTCATTGCACTAAGGGATTGTGTAATCAACTGTTGAGTGCTAGTGTATACACTAATCAGGCATAATATTATGGCATCGGTTAGTAGGAACATATTAAAGTATATCCCTAATATGCATTCCTAAGATACAATATGAGGTAAAAAACAACAAAAGTTAAAAGAAAGTCTCCAATAAAATAAATATTAAAGACTCACCACGTATTACCAGCAGTTAGTGTATATGTCTCTTCACACCTGAGAGTGTATCTGAGTTCTACAGGTGTTTGCACTGTCAGCATTGTATATCCGGTTGTCAAAAGTGATCTGGTGTTATTGTGCGTTTTGTTGTTGCTTCCATTGTTTTTCCACAAAAATATGCATTATGAGATGAACATTACCATCTGCTGGAGGGCAGAAGAGAAGAAGAATCAGATTAAGACATTATTCTCCAAACAGACTTTTCAGTAGAAAATTTCCAAGCCAGACTTTGTGCTAAGCTGGAGTGGATAGTGTCAGACTTGCACTAAAGACTGTAACATTGAAAGATATTAACATGAATTAAATAAGCTGAGGGAACGGGGATTATTTAAATGACAAATGGACTTGATGTAAGGTTTTATGACTCAAAGAAAGAACTTGATAACTTCTTATGTTTTATAGTTGCTTGTTTGACATTTGTTTCAATGTTGTTCTTTCTTCTCAGCACTGTGCACAGAAGAGTGTGCCCATGGACGATGTGTCTCTCCTGATACTTGCCAATGTGAGCCAGGATGGGGAGGACTGGACTGCTCCAGTGGTGAGTACTCAGCAGACAAACAGACAGTAAATGGAAACATCACTACAAAGCATTGCATTACAAGCGTAATGTAGCATAATGTAGCTTTGAATAACAGTAACAACAGTAACAACAGTAACAACAGTAACAACAGTAACAACAGTAACAACAGTAACAACAGTAACAACAGTACCGCAGTCGATAAAAATAAAATTGGCCTCGTCCTTTTCTATTTTTGTCTACTTTTCTAACCTGTTTGGTTTTGTAATATTTGAACATAACAGTTCATAGCATTTCTTAGTATAACTTACCATTACATGGCTTTGCATAACATAACACAACATTGTATAACTGTAGAACATTTAGAGACAAACTATCCGAATTTCAGGAGCAGGACCACTCCTCCAAACACGCGCCCTCCTGTTCTCATCTATATGACCCCCAGTTCTCAGTTACTTCACTTTTCACTGACAGACTGACAGAATTTGTAATCCTGATGTGTAAATAACTAGTGGTGACACAGAACGTTAATAGCAAAATGATCAAACACTTCATGAAGACCAACCAGTCATGTCTTTTAATGTTAATGATTTTATTTATATTTATATCTGTATGTTAAAGCAGAAGCTGCTGTAGCACAAGCTTCCATTGCTAGTTGTATTTGTTGATTTGCTGAACAGCATAAAAACATGTGAAAGGAGTGTTTTTTCTGGTATACGGACCAATATAATTTCTGAGCAGTAGCTTGGTACAAGGCTATGGGATGGGAAATTAGTAACATAATTTAAAACATGTTATAAAAACAGGTGATGTGTATTAAAACCTTTTAAATATATATATTCCATTATACCAGGAAAACATATATTTTTAAAAAATCATTGCTTCTAACAATTTTGAAACCTTTAAAAACATTAGATTTTGATCTGTGGCTATTACTTGTTTTCCTGCAATAATCCAGCCTAAAACATGAGCAGCATTTAACTATTAGTGACACAGCATAAAATTACAGATTGGCAATGTGTTTAAAGGGACAGCTGGCATTAACCTTATGTCACGAGAGGGCAGAGGTCAATCCCTGTTGATTGTGCAAATCAATACATTTTGTTTGGTTTACCTTTAGCTTCATACAAATGCAATATGTAGGAAAATAGAAACACATGCAACATGAAGACAAATACATAACACTGAAATGAGACAAAAAGCTCAAATTCACAAGCTGCTGCCCCGTGCATTTAGCCAGAGGTAAAGAGTGAAGTGGACATTGTTGACAGGTGTGTCTAATATACGATGCTGGGCTGCATGTTCAGCTGTGCCTGGATTTTTGTCTTTACGCGCTCATTATGGAGAGAAAAACTTTTTATCCATGTCTGGCTGACAAAGTTTATCCATTACATGAGACACAAACAGCTAAAATATGCTTTGGCTTTGAAAAAGCTACTCAGAGCTCATCAGTAAAAAAGCATGTAAATGTAATGTGTCAGAGGCATTGTCTGTTTCCATGACAACAAATGGAGGCCTGTTCCATAATGCAATGCAGACAGAAGAGCTCACAAAGAAACCTCATCGTTGGCGTCAGTGTTTTATGGACTTTGCCTAACTTCCAACAACCTTGTGGAGCGAGAGAAGTGAGGTTACTTAAAGCCTTATAATCACAGGCCGTTTCCTGTAGGTGACTGAAATCCTTCTGTCAGCTGTATCATGCACAGCAGAACAGAGAGACAAAAACACCTTTTTTAATCTAGAAGTTATACGATAAGAGAGCCACATTGCATCAAGGAATTCTGAATTTAACCCATTAAGCTCAATGGTCAAGCTCAAGAAAGACCCTAAGGCGAGCTGGCCTTAGGGTCTTTCTTTTGGTCTGCAAACATGAGAATCATCTTCATACCCTCAGTATTATGGAATCTCTCTGGGATTCCTCTGAGAAGATAGAAGGAACCAAAATCACAGAAGAACTCTGTAAAGTCCTTCAAGATGCTGGAACATCCTAAAGTTGAACCAAAAGTTTATTTTAAAAATGTGCAAACACAGAAAAAGAGCAAGATGCGGACAGCCAGGCTCCAATTTCATTCTCAAACTTCTTGCAAAGCTAACATTTCAACCCTCTGTCTTTCCTGTCTGTACAGTAACATTGCAGGCATTTTCACATTTTCAGACATTATAGAAAGAAATGGTTTTAAAACATTTTTACAACAAATTTTACACATTATGAGATTATGAGCAAAGTCTAGACATACATGTAGAATAATTGTCATGGTCCTGGGTCTGATGATTATTAATATTGTGCAATATTGTGGCACCCTGCTTTCCATGTTCATTTATTTCCTGTTTTACTTTGACAGTCCCGCGTCCTGTGTTACTGTATTCTGTTTTGACAGGGAGGAACTGTCTCATGTGGGTGATCAGCTGTGTTCACTCCTTATTTCCTCGTTACCCTCCTGTGTATTTAGTCCTCTGTCTTCCTCCTTCTGTTGTTGGTTCATCTGTGTTTCTTCCCTTGTGTTTCCAATTTTCAGGTTTCTAGTTTCATACAATATTTAGTTTTCCCAGTATAGGTTCCGTTAGCTTCATCCTAGTCATTCTGTGCTTTTTGTTTGTACTTTGATTCAGCCAAATAAAAGGCTCGCTTTCTGTTCATCACCTCACTCTGCCTCCATCGTCTGCTTTTGGGTCTACCTTCTCCTCACTCCACGCCGTCTGCCTCTGCAAACATAAAAGTAAAAGCCCCTTTGCACTAGTACCTACTCGGTTCGGGTCGAGTCTGCTCGACTTGGTTTTTAGGGTTTTCCATTAGGTGGTAGTACCTGGTACCAGGTACTGTGTTAGTACTTTCTCTGCTGGGGTTACAAGCAATCTGAGTTGATCTGAAAATGTGACGTCAACAGGCCGCATTGTGCTGATTGGTTGACTTGACAAAAGTCAACACTGGCATTTTTGAAACCCGACAACGAGGGAAATGGCTGCACCAAAACCCACAGCATGGTCCAGCTATTAGGTGCAGACTCGTACCATGGTGGGGG